CAAAACATTTTAAAAAATGGCAAGTCAAAATTTTCCAAAAGGCACAATTGTTAAACAGTGAAGTGCCCTATCTAAACTGATTTTAATTTTTATTATGTAAAGTAAAAACTCTCCTTTGGTCATGTGCCAGAGGTACTCTAGAGAACAGACTTTGATTCATTCATTATCTTTTGACAAAAACTACATTAAATCATATCAGCATTGTAGCTGGAAATGCTTTACACTTATAAAACTAAAAGATAATTACAGTAAAAAAAATTATGGCATGCTAACAAATTGTCAGAGCTTTTAGCTCAGTCTAACTACTATATTAGTAATTCATAGTTAAGGTTTTTTTCCTGTGAAATAAGTCACTGAACCAACAAATTTAGCAGTCATATTTTGCCTACGTTCATCCTCATTTTGGTGCAAATGTATTCCGTGTTGCTTCTCGAAGTCAGCTTTACACTGATATTCTGGATATTCATTCAGTATTCAAATCATTCTCTACTTTGTATTACTAAAAAACTAGAAAACAATTTTATATGAGGCACTAAAAATACAGGAAAGAGGATCCTGGAAAAGCCATGGGAGCTAAACATAAGACTACTGACTTAACAGCATCTATTTAAGATATCTTTGCAAAATCACCAAAATTCTTTAGCCCAACCATAACATATTCCCCCAATTTACTTAACTTATGTGACAAAATATTTACTTGCTTAAATTGTGTTAATCTTACCTGCTGAAATAAATTCCATTGTTACAGGTTTTCACTCTATTGGTCTTTCCCATGGTCCTTGATTGTATTCCAGCATTCTTTGAAATTCAAATGCATTATGTTTAGATACAACACTCTTGAAACTAAAGAAAAAACTCAACCTACAACTAAAATAATTGCATGTGAGCATAAATTGCCTTCCTTCTGGGAAAATATAAGTGAAACTTTTGGTTATTTATGGAGGAAAAAAAAAAAGATTTTTCCTATCTTTGAAGTTTAAATATCTCAGACTGGGAAAGAAGTCAAAAGGTGCCAGAAATTTTGTTTGGTTTTTTTGAAGTCACTGCATTATGAATTCTAAAATGACAGTAAAAGGGATCAAGTCCCAGTTTCATCCCAGACTAATTTTAAAGTTAGTGGAGCTGCAAAGGAGCATTATGTACTTTTTGACTAAAGCTGTAGGAAAGCAGTATTTTCTATGAATAGATACTTATTAAATTGTAAAATATATGAAACAGACCATTGTTGCGCTTCACAATAAATTTCAAATAAGTGAACGTTGACTCCCTTTACATTGCGTGTGCTGAAAGCTGTTAAGATGTGCACAATACTTATGCTAGGATTATATCCTTTATGTAACTTTTCTTTCAACTTGCAAACTGAAAACAGCAGTCACTTATAAATTCCCTTCAGTGGCAACTGTTTAGTCACTGAAATAGTTAAATGCTGTTATTCAATTATCGGCATCAAAAGATCAGTAAAGGATAAAATTGCTTCTTCTTTTGGAATCGTTTACCATCAAATAGCTTATTTTATAATTATATAAATGTCCATGTTTTCAGCCCAAACTTCTGTCAGAGACTTAATCTAATTAAATGCTGACATGACACGCTTACAGATTCAGCCAAACCCAGAGCGAAAGCAAGAACTCTTGCTGGTTACAGGAGCTGTGTGACTCCGGTGTGACTGCAGTGTCACACAGTGCTATCAGAAAATTATGTTTTAAGTGGCACGTTCATCTGTGAAGACTTCAGTGAAGAAATTGAGAAATGTTCTGCCCTTAAATGATTCAAAGAGTAAAGGAATAAAATTAAAGAAGATAATGTGCCATTAAAAGACTGACGGGCAATTTCACTCTGATACCTCAGTATTAGGGCTCTGCCTTCCAAGGGACTATATCCCATCTGCTCCGAGTAGGTGGCCCTTTAGAGTCATTAGAATCATCTTAAAATTACAGCCCAGCAAGAGTAATCCGTTTTATGTATCCAGAAATTATTGTCCACCTGCCCATCTGCATGTCCTTACAAGGAATGCAGTACAGAGGCGCAAATGCTAAGTCCTCAGGGAAATCATTCTCATCTTCGGTACACATATGCTGTGCTACAGTTCATCAAGCAAACTTTACTGTTGTTTTGGCATCATTTCATGATTGAATATTTAACAAACAAATTATTCTAGAACCTAAATATTTTTGGCTGAAGAGACATGGAAAGGTGGGTGGGATTTAAGTTGTAGACAAATCAAGGTGACGTTTTTGCCCCCAATGCATGAAAATAATGCAGTATTTTCTGTAATAATCTTCCATACTAAATTAGGTTAATTTAAGGTGGGCTTCCAGCAAAGATTTTAAAATAACTCCATGCCAAGTGAAAACACTGGAAAAAGAGAGAAGTATGTGCTTGTATTTCAAGGAAATTACTATGTAGGAAATAAAAAAAAAAAATTATAACTTTCCAAAATGTGTATCATTTTAGTGTTAATAAAAATTGAATGAACTAAAACAACACAAAGTGTTTATAAACTTGATGACGTTTCATGTATTTGTAAATTTCTTGTTCTGACTGAAATGTGCAGCAAAAACAAGCATTGTAGAAAGGGCTATATCAGTGTACCTTTATAGAAAACATAATGTAAATTCATTGCTCCCTTGTTTTTTGCATAACAGTAGCAGTCAGTGATATCTTAATAAATAAATTCAACCTTGCTTGTTCCTTCTTATATATGTAGTCTTATCTAAAGTGCTAGAAAACACATTAGATCCATGAAGCGGTGCTGCAATATTTCATAAATTAAAATTAGATAATTTATTCAAATAATTACATTCAGTGAGTTTACTCTTGGAATCAAAAATATGCTTTATTAACTTTTATATTCATTCTTAACTCCCTTGAACATACCTAACTTAAGCGTGTGCTTAGGTGCATGCTGAATAGAGACTATAGTCTGTAAGAAAAAAAAGAAGACGTATTTCAATTTTATGTAAATAATATACATTATTGTTATTTGGTTTTCTCAAATCTTTTAGGATGAATCAAGAAGACTGGAACTTCTGAAGGCTACATAGCGTGTCTGTGGTTTTTTTTCCATTTTACTCATTTTCCCATGTTGCTAAGCTTATTTAACTCATCCTCAGTGTAACCTTCGTTTCTTATACTTCCAAAAACGATGCTAGAGGATAAAATAAGAAATTAGTCTTCTGTATAGATGGAGAAATTGAGCCTTTTTGAAGTTTATAGACTAAGAAGATAAAAGAAACCTTCCTATCAAAATATCTCCAAATGTATTCCCTGCTTCTATTTTTTGCATCAGCACTTTTGAGGTCTTTTTGCAGCTCACCTACTAGTCAGTTCATAAAATATCATAACACAAAATAAAAAGCAAAACTTTGTATCCTGAGTACCCTCTATTATAAAAGTATTAAGGAGCAGTAACTGATAGCCGTGCTTTTCCCTTTCAAGTAACTGTACCCATTTTACCTGCTTATCTTACAAAGAAGCTTCCACGGATGAGTTGAGGGTATAAGTATTTTAGTTACAATGTATTTTTGTTTTATGTTAACAGAAAATCTATATATGCTAATAGGGAAAGTCTTAATTATATAATTGTATTAGTGAGCATAAGAAACTTGATTCATGGGATGTTTTGCAGATACATTATTCGGAGCATAAATATAAGGCTAATAAAATAAGTTCCAAAATTCTGAAATGGTATTCCAGTAACATGCAGAGGTGTGCAAAGTGACCTCAGCGGGAATATTCTTCATGTTTGAGTTCAAGATGTTATCGGAAAGTATGGAATACCATCCTTTTTGATAGAAAGACACCACTGTCATGGGCTTTTTCCTTCCTTTTTGTTGTGCAGTTGTTACAAATTTTATTTAAATGATGATTATCATGTAACCACAGGTTTGAGAGGTTTCCAGCATTCTAAGTTGGGGAAAAAAATTTGGGCCTATGTTTTGAAATGTGCAGTGGCTTTTCCCCTCCCTCCCTTTGGTTCCCTACTGAAGTAGGAGAAATATGTTTATGGTATAGTCAGGTTTGTGCGTTTGTTGCCGGCAAGAGCAGATGGTTCTCAGAATCTTTGCAAATTTAGAATAAAGCTGTACAAATTAAAGAGCCATTTTGAAACGTTAAGGTTAAGTGTTTTGCATAAAATAGTATTGTGTGATGAGGAGAGGAAATCACTGATGCTTTGTTTCCTAAATTTAGGGTGACAACAGTGAATTCATCCAGGGTGCTGAGTACCTTGAGACCAGCCACAGCAGGCAAGGAGCATCTGATTCAGCAGTTTTTAAAGAGATCCCATTAAAGAGAATGTCATGGAAAAATGAATGCTGGAAGAATAAGGGACACAGCAAATACAACCTCAAGGAAACTGTATTGGCAAAACCACAGTGTTCTGCTATGAAAAAAACAGATTCTGCTAACTCTCAGAGAGGCTTAATGCCTACCCTTTGTCTTTCTCCAACTGGAAGTAAATCAGAATTCTTTAGAGTAATTCCAAGTGCATCAGAAAAACCTGACAGATCTGAAGGAGTGTTTGGTCAGTTGCAAACATCAGTCAATAAAAAGTCTATGAAGAAAATCTCTAGAGAAAATTCTTGTATGACAACAGAGACTTGTGTAAGTGATTTTACTTTAAAATTAAATGAGTAGATTGTATAAATAGAGGAGCTGTATTAAAAGCCCATTTGCAAGAAGTGAGAAATAGTACACGTCTTACAGATACGTTCCAGGTTTATCGTAACAGTATTTACCAAGCTCAGTCTCCTGAAAGTTTTGTTTTGTAGTTTTTTGTTGCCCATAAAATAGTACTTCAGATAAAGCAGAAATCACAGAGGTTCATAGATAAAACAGGTGTAATCGAGCAACTCCCATTTTAGAAATGTATGCACTAGAAATGCATATGTAATTTTGGGCTGAAAGGCTACAGAAGAAAATTGATAGACTTTCAATAACTGTATTAAAGAGGGACCATAGAAAAATGATTAATCTATGTACTTCATAGTCTGTCTGCTGCAGTTAGGAAAAACAATAAATTATGTGACTGAAGGCTAGCAGTAAGGCTGTGTGACATTGGCTGAAGTGCCAGGCTGCTGTAGGAACTGTTACGTTTACCAGTGTTGTTTTATCCCCAGTTTTTTTTCTTCCTGTGCTCTCTTTATGGAAACGTACAGTAATTTTAAGAAGAAATTACTCTGATGCTAATTATGGTCTCACAGATTTCTTAATAGTTAATTCTTGTTTCTTAGCTTATGTTAAACGATGTGCTTTGAATCAGGAATTAGAGCTTAATAATCAAGTGTATTGTGTAAATAGCAAATGAGGAAGTATGTTACTGTTCCACGTTTTGGTTATGGAATTTTGTTGTGCTTGGAGTTACTGCATATTTGTATTTTTTAACATCTAACCTCCTTGCTAAATGCGTTATGAGTGGATTAGATTTCATCCTGAGCAGCTGAGTGGAGCAAGCCAAATTTGTTCCTAAGACTTCAGAGACTGTTATTCTCAGACTTCAGCTAACACTGCCTGAGACAGAAGACTTGCAGAGCCAGCATCTTCTGTCCTGCAGCGGTGAGTTGTAGAGGGCTAGAGAGAAGTGCAAGGACAGAGCAGGCTTCCGGTGTTACCTCACCAGCATGTCCTGCCAGCTTCCTACCAGCAGTACGGCTTAGCAACTTCTTGAGTGAAAGGTGTTGTCTTTGTGTTGGTATTTTATGGCTGTATATCATATTCTTCTTCAGTTGTCTCTTCTGCAGGTCAAGTTTTGTTGTATTTAGTCTCAGATTTGCTTTTGTGTGTTTTTTTTTTTTAGCCTTTTCTCCCAAGGCTGTTGAATCATGGTCACTAATGTAAGAGTGGTTTTTTGTTTTTGTTTTTTGTTTTTTTGTAATATCTTGAACCAGATGCTGCGCACTACTGGGAACCAAAAGAATAAGTGCTTCTCTTTTTGTGGCTCCATGAAGTAGTTATTTATGCTTTGGGAAAATTAGTCACAGTAATGGGTTACAGCATGGCATTTTCCTAGGTGACATGTAGGAATTAAAGTCTACCACCATTATTGTGTTTTTTGTCCTTGCAGCTTATCTAATCTTAAGGATATCACAGTCACCGTACTACTAAGGGGATTTTGATGCTGTTCAATTGTTGGAATTTTAGTCCATGGTGATTCTGTTCTTGTTGATAAAGTTAATTTTATTTATATGATTTCACGGCCTCCACAAAAGGGGAAGCAGGAGTGACTACTTCTGTGGGACAGGGCTGCTGCTGTGGCAAGATCATATTGTGATGACCCTGGTGATAACACCTACTTTTGGCTCCTATGGCTGCTGAGAATGGACCACACTGCTGCTACATGTGGATGTAGAAAACTGGGCCTTAAACACTAGGAAGAGCAGTCCAAACTGGGATTAAAGAATAGCATCTAGGAAAGCACATGTTCAACTTTTCTTGATATCTGTGGTAGGGAGACCTGCTTATTGCCATACCACTGATGCTTCAGTGTTTTTTGTGAAATGAGTCTTTTTACTGGTGAAGGGGTTATGAAAATTTTATGTATCCCGTAATCCAGCGAGTCAGACTGTGAATCAGTCTCTTGATTGAGGTTTCTCCTTGAAGTCTCTTCTGATATTTTACAAGTAGCTGAGTAGATTTTGTAAAGGGCTTGCTCTTTTCCTGGTAAAAACAGACTATCCTTTTTCATGAAGGGTGTAGACACAAGTTTCTTCTGGGAAGGAAAGGGAGTAGGGGAAAACAAGGGGAATGAAATACAATAATGTATGTGGAAACGTGAAATGATGCTGAGACCTTATGGTGAATTTCTAAACTTCAAGATAAGAGTGGCCATCTAAGTACAAAGTATATTTATTGTCCTGCAGGATGGTATCACTGGAGTTAATAGAAAATTACTGATGGAAGGCAAAGACATCAATGAAAATAAACAATGGCTGATAAGCTTAAAGATAATAAAAAGAACACACATAACAAAAGCAGAGAAAGTCCTACAAATAGCATATGTTCTATAAATTTATTTTCAAGACATTAGAATTGCTGCTTCTGATGTAGAAAATGTGGAAGTATGCAATGCCTGTGTTTTTTTGGATTTAGACAGAAGTAAGATACTCACTTCCATATTTTGTAGCGCTATGAGAATACTTTATATTCCCCAGTCAGTGCTAACACCAACTCTGTTTCTCTGTTTCTGAGATATGTTAATATACATTTATCTGTCTGTCAACATATATGTGATAAAATGGTGTATGTTTTAAGTTTTACATTCACTTCCCCTCTTAATTTTATCTGTAGGACTCTCTATTCGTAGCTGTGGGATTGGACACAAACTTTCTAGTTTCCAGTAACTGCTCACGTTTTTATGATTAAATGTATTCCTCCCTTGTTTCCTGATTATTTTCAGCTTTAGGAAATTGTTCCACTTAAAATTCAAGTATGTTTATTACCAATCAGAACTATAATCTATTTGTCCATAACAAAATGGAATGTTGATTGCTTTCATGAAAGATGTTATGAGTGTTTAAAGCAGTGATCAACTTTTCTTTATCCATTAGAATGTAACTAAATGTAGACTACCCACATGGCTTGCAATTAGTTTTGCATTACAAAGTCCTCTTTTGTCATTTTTAGGAACCAAAATACTTTATTACTTTGGCTTCAGTCCTGCCAAGCCTGATAACAAGCTATCTTTGCTATTGCCCTGTTTCCTTTACAGCTACTGATTGCCCACGTGGTCTGCATGTATGGCACACTTGCATAGGGCTCACGTATGCCAGCTGGTCTCCCTCTTGCTCTGCAGTTTCTTCTAGAGTTTAGGAAGTGTGCAATGTCTGTCAGCAGCAGGTATAGTTCTTACAAGGACATCTATCTGTGCTAGTACTAATAGGAAGAATAGCTGGTCTAATACAAACTGCAGTGAAATAGCAGGCTGTTTAGTTGTATTCCAGCTATGTGTGAGCATTTACCCCCTGACACGGTAATGCCAACAGCTTGGTGTGGTTTGCTGTGCATTGTGCTCAAGTTTGCTGAAGTGATAGCCATTTGAGATGACATTTTGTAATGTGTTCTCTGAAAACTTCAGGTTTTTTTCCCCATGAGATACCGTATTCTTATTGTATTATTTCATTTCTTTTCTTGTCTTTTCCCAAACTTTCATTTTTTAGTATCTGTTATTTGGCAGTTCTCTGATCTGTTTTAGGCTCAGGTTTTGTGACTGTAAGGCAATGAGGCATCCCTCACTGGATGGTGCAAGTGCAACAATAAATTGTCTGTTAAAGCAAAGGATGTGAATTCCCTAAAAAAAAAAAAAAAAAAAAAGGCAAGAAAGAGAAAGAATAGCTAAATAGTTCTTTTTCTTGGCTCATAGCAGTTCTTGGCTCATAACTGCATGATCCTTATCGCATGTAAAACTGATGTAGTGAAACAAAAGTTATAAATCTTCATAGTCAACATACATACATTTTGAAGTATGCTGTCCAAGATAATGGCTGAAAAAAGATATGAAAAAATAGGGAAGTTTTAATAGGAGCAGAAAATTAGTAAGAAAGTTCAATCGTTCCTTCTTTCTTTCTCCTTTTCCTATAGAAGCCAAAAGAATGTAAAAATAAGAGAAAATTGTGTAGGACCACAGTGTACCAAATGTAATAGCTTTGGGACAAATGGATTCCAAAGGTTTTCTCAGCTACAGAAATCAATATTCTAGGTTCCTGTAAGTTTTAAGAAAAAAGTTCTGACCTACAATATTTGCTAACTACAGTGAGACAGCACTGGAGCTTTTTGTTTGCTTTAGGCCTGTAATTATTTTATTTCCATTTAGAAACACTCTTCATTGTTTTGAGAATTTTGTATGAGAAGACAGTTTTGTATGAAAGGGTATTAGAGTGAGAGTTTACAGAGAAGTAGTCTCTCCTAATCTGCTCATAGAGAAGACTGGTGGAAAGAAAAAAAATCTTAACCAACTCTTACTGCCATCGATTTGCTAACTGCTTAATACGCTTTAAGGACCTGGTTGCTTGCAATGTTTTATTCATGTTTTAATAGAGTTCTCTATTATTAAGTTCAAATATTTTTAATTAAGAAAGAAGTACAACCCTCTGGGTAATACTTCAGCCATGTAGATAGCTGGTAATTAAACTTTTCTGCGCGTATAACTACATTCAAACAATTCTGAATGAATCATTTGAAACTAGAAGTATGCAAATGTCATTATGTATGAAAAAAATCCTTTAAACAACAGGTTTTGTCAATCTAGCAAAAGTTTTAAGAGCTTAATAGAAAAGCTCTTTTTATCATAGGGGGAGGATATGCTGAAAGACAAGATAAGCTTTTAATTACTAAATGCAATATTCAATTTAGACAAATTCACAAGTATTGCAGAATTACTTTTTACATCAAATGTTTCTCCTAAATTACAAAATGAACTTCATCTCAAATTCAGTTTTCAAATTCTCTCTTTGAAAATCAGCTAAAACAGCATAAAATTTGTGAAGAGGCTTTTTTTTTTTTTTTTAGTAATCGTCTGAAGCTACAGAATATTTAGTCCAAACTATTTCTCCTTTATTGCAAGGAGTTTATTGTAGACGCAGTAAAGGACAGAAAACTGTCATGACTCCTTTCTGAACATGGTATTTCTGTTGAAGAATGGGAGGATTATAAGAGAGGAAAACAGAATGACAATTTGAAATAAGCTAAAGGAAAAAAACAAAAGAATTTTTTTGAGTTGTTTTGTAAAAATTCCAACATCTATACATCTTTCTTCATAGAGGTAAAAGAAAATGCAGACAGGACTGGGGAACGTTTTGCCTCAAGATAACGAGAAAAATGTTCTTTCAGCTCTTAATGCTTTTATTCTGCATGGCAGTAGTTCATGCTGTCCTTTGATTTTGTTCATGCCAATTGGTTTGTATACGAGTAAGAAAGATAAACAGAAGCTTCTCTTGTACTCATCAAACAAATGAAATTCAGAGGGCTCCCATATAGGAAAATCCAAAGGAAATCAACAACTTCAGTAAGATCAGTAAAGGTTAAAACGGTGGCAGATCTGATGGAACACTGATAAATCAGAGAAAAAGCAAGACTTTCCAGATGTAACATAGCAGGCTTGATATGAACTAATAACTAATAATAATTGAACTAATAACTTAAATTCAGTAAGGGTCTAGATAAAATGTTGTGTGCTATTTTAGGAATAAAATATGATCGTTAACAATCACACAATTCAGGAATAAAACTTGGACGTCAAAAGCTAGAGGTAAAAAGGGGTAGCACCTGTGCTAATAATAGTAGCAGATGCCTAAAAGATGGACTGGGATTAATGCTTTGTATAAGAATTACTCTATCAAAACTTATCTAGGTAATACTGCTTTACATGATGACGATGTCGTCATCTCAGCTGGTACAATTCATCTAATTCTTAACTGAAATATAAAGGAGATTGATTTAAACTCTTTGCGGTGCTATGAAACCAAGGTAATCACCCCTTATGAAAGTAGCTATGTCTAATTTTGCATAGATTTCAGAAAAATCCGTTCCAGACTGTAGTGTTTCGAGACCTTTCAGTATTCTGAAAATGGGAACATAAGGTAAATCCCCCATGATTCATTTCCATGGTGGGCTCAGCAGAGCAGCTCCAGGACCTGCATTCTAGCCACATGTAGCAGGAGAGCGGTAGTCGCTCGTGTGTGTGTGCTCACGCACTGATGCCGTGTACAAAATGGCAGACTATATTGATCTGTGCTGAAAACAGTCTCCTAGTGCTTGAGGTGATTCTGTAGGAAAATCTGTAAATGGCTTTTGAAAAGACATTTGACTAAGAATTTGAGATATATAATAAAAATTTGAAAATGTTTGCAATGAGCTTTAGAATTAATTGTCTTTTTCACAAAGCTCTGCTTACTTGCACATGCAGATGTACCCATGTGAGAGCCCTTCAGTCATAAGTCTAGTTTTACATGGTACATTTACCTGCTGATTGGCAATTTGCAGGCATGCTTCCCATCAAAGATGGTTTACTTTATTATTTCAATGCTAATTTTCTTTTTGATTGGTTATTTGCTGTAGCTGGCTTTAGGTGAAATATCTATTACCAGAGGAGTCAGAATGAGATACAGAAAATGTAAAAAAAAAAAAAAAAAAAAAAGGAGCGATCACTCACAAAAACTTAGTGTTTGGTTTGTCAGCAATCTTTACTGACTGGTACTTAATTTCTTACCTGGAAATAAAATAGTATTGTTTTACATACTATTCAGATAATAACTGTTGATTTCTTTTATGGCAACCGTGAAGAAACAAAAATATACTACATGTTTTCATTTTAAAAATATTTTTGCAAATGCTTAGTTAAATATTCTAGAGCTTGAGCTGTAGTCAAGGTGCTGTTCGCTGCGTGCTGCTGTTACATGTATTATTAAAAAGAGTTTCTCCATCTGTTCTTGATCCAAAATTCTCTTCCACTGTGCAATGTATTGCACATCCTACACTTGCAATATAGTACTATGAATGAATGTATGAATGTATCCCCGATTTCTCTTCTGGAAGGGAAATAAGTAATGTATTATGCTTATAATCCTTCATTATCTGGCTTTACTCTGATCTCGAGGACAAAAAAAGCTAGAAAGAAAGGGGATCAGAGGAACAATAATGCTTTTCTGATTCCCAGAAAATAGAGTTTCATGAAGGTGTATGGAACTGCCTAAAACAGAAAAATGCACTGTTTGTAGCTGCAAAATAAGTTCCTGTTTGAGCAGTGATGTCGTGTAATCTTTCTAGTGAAAGTGAGCACTTTGTGAAATTCTAAGTGATGCAGATGCAAATCTAGGATGTCTATTTATCTTTTTCCATGATTTCCTTAAAATGTGGAAATAGTGTCCAGTGTATAATGTCTTTTGTGGCAGGTATATTTCATACTTCTGCAGAGCAGAACAAGTGAACCTATGTAGAATAACTCATATACTTGTGAGTGTTTTTAAAGGCAGACGTCTTGTTTATGTGAGGTGATAGCCTGAAGATATTGAAGGCTGCTGTAATACTTCTCTTACTAAAATGAAGCTGCCATTCAAATAATCCTGTGTTTCAGGTGTGGCCAGTTCAAGACTATAATCCACCTACAGGACTTAAAATGTACGCTATATACACAGGGACAAAGAAGGGGGGACCCTCTAGTAATAGCTCACAGACAGGAAGGTGACTTTTGTCCCCCTAGAAGACCCACTGAAAGATTTCTGGATTTTGTAGTAGGAAAAGCTAGCAATGTCCACCTCAGTAACACTGCTGACCTGCTTACATAGTTAAGGTTTTCAGTTGCCCGCTGTCCCCCCATAGCAGAACAGGTTGGGGGAATACTCCTGCTGCCAGCACAGCTCCTCATCAGTATGATTTAGTCCCTGGAGGACAGCCCCATTCTGTTCCCGAGAGTGAAAGCACTGTCCCTCGGAGTCTTTGGGAGTCTGTCGGCGATAGTCTAGGAATATAAATTGTCAGAAATCCTAGTCGCTACTGTGGATTTGCTTGTCAAGCAGAAATGCTTCATACTTCCTTTCATGACCTGCAACAGAACAACTTGACTTCAAATGAAACTAAAGACCTCAAGTATTAGATTTGCTCCTGTGTGGACTTTTTATGAAAAATAAAGTTTTTCCTAAGAAAGGAACTATCTGAACAGAGACGATGCTGCAGCAAATTGAGCCCACTTAAACATTCCTATCATGAAGTTCTGTGTGAGGCATAAGGACAAACTGCAGAATAGTTAATAATTTTTTTAGCTTTTGGCCTCTGGATCAAATTTGAGATAACAGTTGGTAAGTACAAAGTAAAATGAAAGTATAGAGGCATTTATTTTAAAATCTGTACGCTAGCAAGTTGCTGAAATAACTTTTAAAAATTAGGGCTGACATATGTAGCTTTCCAGAGAAATGCTACGCTATGCTTGACAAATAACTGAATTTTATGTTGGCAGTGTTTATGGTACCATAATAACTATGCGATTGTGTTTATTTCAAGATTTGCATTTGATATTTAAGCAATTTTACCTGCTAGATTTTCATACTTTTGAAAAGTATGAATCAATCTTCTGTTTTTAATTTCAATAGAACAGCAAATTCACGAAACACCCTGGATGCAAACTGCTGTGCAGTGCATGCAATGTTTGTATTCTGCTGCCTTCCCATGAAGTTATATGTATATGCTTGATCTTCATAGCTAAACAGAAATCTGTTAACTAATCTTTTCTAGTAAATATTCTGTTTCTTTTTTAGTACTATAGCTTCTTGAAGATTCCCCAAAGGATTCCCCAAGGGATCTGTTTTATCCCAATATTCTATTCCATGATCCTGTCTATACTGTTAACTTTTCCATTCTATTTCACAGGAGTATAACTGGAAGAACTACCAGTCGAATAGACTAAGTGCATCTGAACTACAGATGTTGGCGAGCATGACGAGACAACAAAATGAAGAATTAGGGGATACTGGGATCTCACATGGGCTGAGCGCGTCACAGATGGATGACTGCAATGTTAGCATAAGCACAAGCAGTGATGATACAGCAACCTGGAACTCTTCTTTCCCACCAGTGAGTCTAAACATGCAGTATTTTTTCTAAAATTCTTTGAATGGTTACATAGTCCCTACCAACTCTGAGGTTCAGTGGTGTTGGGTAAAACTTCTGAGGATACCTTTGAAATTTAAGATAGCCTTAACAAACGTGTTTTTTAGAACTTATAAAGCACACAACCAAAACACACGTACTTCCAGCAGCTTCCATAGTACCATCATGGAAAACAAGCAAACCTATTATATGTATTCCAGTGTAGAACCCTGAATAATTATATAAATTGTACAGCATGTCACAACAGTGGCTGACAAGCTACATGTGTGTGTTACAGTACTTTAAAATAGTTTCAAAATGAATGAAACCCAGATACACCAGTCAGGTACTGCATTACAGTACAAGTAATGGAAAATAATTGCTTCTTACATTGATAGTTTCATTGCTGAACAGCTAACTGCTTTTAAAGAACTGAACCAGGAGAACAGCGGAGAAACACTGCAGTAGTTCTGAGCACTTAGTATGTAATCCTTCTGTGTTTTGCACCTTGTATGAATATTTGTCGTGGTAGGAAGTGGTACAGAACCGCACACAGCTGTACTGTGTGACAGAGTGCTGTTGTTAGAAGCAGAGGCGTATTTGTTAGCAGTCCGCTGAAGAGTATTGAATGTATGAAATCACAGAATAACATTTTGGCAACTATATAAAGGTACTTGCAGGCATTGCTGTAAAACTCAAAACCTCACAGTCCATTTCTCTAACTAACATAGTTCTTATTTTATTATAGCTGAAACAATAATAAACAATGAATGTGGCCTAAGCAGCGAATGCAACACAGCTGTCAGAGGCAGGTCCAACTTTAGAAGAGTAACACACTGCTGTGTTGCCCCAATACAAATTACCGCAGGTTCAATGCTCTAAAATGACGTTAGCTGCAAATTTTCTCCAGGGATTCATAGGGCCCAAAACGGAGGCCTGTGGTTAGCAATCTTCTATAATCGATGATCAATGCAATATTAGAGCCGTGTGTTATACTAATAAATGAAGGTTTAGAATTAGCAGAGATTTATTGATAAATGATTCATTGTTCTAATAAGAGCGTGGTTTACAGAGTAATATTTTGAGGGATATAAGAGGAACATTAGCTGGCTCTAACTACTTAACGTATGTTGATATTGTGCATTTAGTTGATTTCATCATATTTCCAATGCATTTTCTTAGTACTCACTTGATAGACTCCAACATGGAGGAGACCCGTAAGACTGGACAAATGAGACTCAATTAAATAAAGAGAATAGCAGTCTCATTAACTTTTGAGTACCCTAATTATCAGGAAATTGATAAGAATATTTGGACATGTCAGGCTTGGTTAATACAAATTATGTGACTGAAACAAAAAGAACTTTTAAAATGAAATGTACTGCTCTGTACTGTAATACTGTACTGCAGTGTTTAGTGAAACATTATGTGGTTGCAAAGACAGTTCTTTGATCCCACTGCTTTGATCAGCTTCTGTACATTTCAGACTAAAATTTTCAGTTTGAAGTGTTTAGCTATAATAGGTTATGCACTTAAAATGAATTTATTACAGGTATAGTTATTCATAATACTCCTTTGTGGCAATCTTTCTCTACATAAAACAATGCATTTGGCTTGGAGAGAGACAAATTTTTCAAATTTCTGTCTGTTGACTGAAGTGTTGGTATGTCTTACCTCTACAGCCTTCTGCTGTGCCTTTTGCCTGGTGAGCATTGTGTTTTTAATGGCAAGAACCTTGGTTTGGGAAGGATGGAAGAGCTAATCTAGAAAGCAAATCTAATCTTTCTCAGATAAGGACTAGCTACTTAGTCCCTCACTACAGCACAGAGTGCTGAAATTGAGCTTCCACAATTCTCCCCACCAGTATACCTCTGCCTAGACCCAAAGAGATTTTTTTGTACCAATATCTGTTTTTTCACTTATGTTTTCCTTTTTGAGATAGCTGCCAAGCACCAGCTATCGCTAATGCTGATACTAGTTTTTGAAGTGTGGAGTTGTGTTTACTGCTGCTTGTTGTAGTTCTGTTCAAATATTTGGGAAAAAGCAGAGTAATCATGTGAGGGTGATGACTAATTTTCTAGTCCTGTAGTATCTAAGAAGGTGATAAACAGATTTATTAGAGAGGGTGGTTATTTGATTAAGACTCCAAGTTATTTGACACAGAAGAGTCTTAAAAGAGTGGGTTGAGGACGTTTCTGCTGTGCTGGTGTTAAGTTTTAGTATTTTTTTATATGCTCACAATATTTTGTAAAAGTCTAAGAGTAGTGATACTGTGTCAATATTCAGACAGCTGAAAAGACCAAGTTACTGTAAGCCAGCTAGTCTGACATCATTTCAAAACAGTGAAAAAATGACAGGGGGTTCAGTTAACAGAGATTCAAAGGATAGTAACATTTAATAATATGGTAATTTTATATAAAATATGTCTTGTTTAACAGATCTCATTTCATTAATAAATTTACAACTTTGATAAAGGTAACTACTTGGATGTAATATGCTGAATCATTGTAAGTATTTGCTTACCATGTGACTTTCTATTTGAAAAACGAGTAGCATACAATATCAATAAAGCGTGCTTTAAATGAATTTAGAACTGGCCGCCGGACAAATATCAAAAGCAGTCAGCAGGGAATTATCTGTGACTGGAGTATACTCAGCAGGACTCCATCAGTCTATCAGTTCTAGACCTGATGTTCGATGTTTTTATCGGTGATCTAAAGTTTAATGGCCTGTAATAGACATATGGTCATTCTAGTTGATCTAATTTTCCCTCTGGTTTTCAAATTTATAAATCTTTCAAATAATTTCATATAGTTATTTTCTGTGAATCTCTGCATTTAGCAGTCTCACATGTGCTTTAAACGTGTACACACGGCTAGTCTACAAAACTGAGAGCTCAGAATTCAGCATATTTGGAATGGTTAAAGCATGTTCGAAGGTTGCTCCTCCTGGCTGTCAGCCTTCTGCCGTGCACAGTCCTGCTATAAGATTTAAAATGAGTAAAGTCATAATTCCTTCAGCTTCCAGTTTTTACTCAGAATTATTCCTTATACATACTTATTCCTTATACAAATTCCATAGATATATAGATACAGATAATAAAAGGAAATTTATTTTATGTCACCAGATTTTCAGTAGTGACAATCACTACCTTTCCAGCTGAGTCAAGAGAATTTACAAAAGATCAATCCCCCCTGCAGTCCCTTTAGCAAACCACAGAAAAATTTTTATGTATCTGTAGCCATCTTTCAGTTGTATTTAGCAAATGTTTTTAGCTGTACAGTATATGAAAAGAAATAGAAATAATCCTCATATTGTAGTTTGAAAAATTAAGGACAGTTTGAAATTCCTGTGGTGATTAACTTGTCATGTTTATTTGTACTTCCAGGAAATAACTTTTTGATTATTTAAATCAATAATATCTATTCCCTTCTATTATAGCCTTTAAAGATAAGTAAGGAGTATTTTTTTTTCTAAATATTCATTCATTTTATATAACCTTTCTGTCACTTGATGGAATCTGTGGCAACAGCACCACCAGAAGGCAGGTTTTTGAGTATCTTTCCTCTTTGGAATACATATGATATTTTGCAAAGCAGTACAGGATATAATTGTGTTAGATAATGAACTTATTTATCAAAGTAGTATTTTATATATATAGAACACATTTTTAGTGAGTTTAAATTTTCCATCACTTACCATTTTTAGTCTCTAGATTCATTGAAAGTTCTTACCTATTACTGACTCTAATGAGGTTCAGAAGTTCTTCTGAGCGAAAGGCACATAGATCTTATTGCTAAGTTGCCATTAGAACAGATGAACAGACGTCCTTAAACAACTGTAAAAGTGATATACTAAAAACTATTTTATAGCCAATGATAGTTTACCAGCAACTGAATAAATACTCTCAGGAGATATTGCTGAAATTTAAGTTGTTTAGCAGCTGCTGTAAACTATGATAGCCAAAAAGGAATAAAATAGCTTTGAGTACTATACATTACCCAACATAGCTATTAGCTATAAATATAAAAAACTTTTCCTTTTTTTTTAATAATAATTTTACTTGGAAGGTGAATTGTAAAGCTTTATAAAATGTGCGTGGCGCACAGAGCAAAGTTCCAAATCAATAATATGTATATGTAGAACTACATATTTAAAAAGAAAATAGTTGCCTGTGTCTTGCCTGAATGTTTTCTTACATGTCGAGATCTAGATGAAGTTCCACATTAGCTTTGCACAACTGGTTATAATGTGAAAGATGCAATTTTCTGTACTGTGCAGTTGTACATCCTACACATTATCCAAGGAACGCTTTACAGCTTATGAAATATTTCTGCTCTAGTGCCTGAACTAGAGAGCCAGTAAGACCTTCCTGCCCCTGTTAGAGAATTGACCCATTCAGCTTCTTGGCTAGCTGGTTCCAAACAACTTCAGTGACGTGTTATGTTTCAGCTTATGTTATATGACATGCATATAACACAAACATTGTGGAGCAAGATCGTATATAAGAGAAATTCAGGATGCCTTCTTGCATCTGCTCCCTGATTCTCAGACAGAGACAGAGAGGAGAATGAAGATGCTGCTAGATTGTTCATTGAGGAATCCTGGAAGCTCACAGTGGTATAATGCTCCATCGTCGGACTCCAAAATATTCTCTCTTGTCTTTCAAGCTGGAAGTACTCAGAGAGAAATGAGATTACTTGTTCCACAAGCATCTTCCTCCTAAACATAAGTTCAAGCAAATAGGCGTTTGATCTGAAAAGTACTTGAAAGAGTGCTTCCAGGTTCATACCTAATTTGTGGAAGGTCTTTTGGCCTCCATTGTGATGATTTACAAAAAAGAGCCACATAACACAAAAATGTTCAGGCAGATTTGAAGTCTGACAGACGAGAAGAGTGATATTTAAACCCAGAGTTATTCTGACTGAGAGCTCAGTTTGACAACCCCTGGAGGGATCTATTCACATCAAGTCAAATTGCAAAACTGAGGCAGACTACTCTTTACTATGAAATGAGACTAAAAATTATTGAGACAGATATTCTGGTTCAGAGACTGACTAACTCACTTTCTCTCAGCCTCTGTCTTCAACTGACCATCACTTGGGAATTGCACCATCCACCATCTCGGCAGTGACTCGTGTTTGGCAATAATTGGGATGTCATTCATCCTGAACAGACATTTTACCACATCCTTCCCCACTTCCTGAAACCATATGAACCTACTCATTTTTTATATTGATTTCTGTATAAGTCCCGATCCTTTTCATAATTCTTAGTATCTATTTTTAGCGTTTCATGTACTAAATTGTGCACATATTGATAATGTGTTGCCTATGCTTGTATTTTCACTTGTTTCTCCGTTTACTTAAGTGATGTGTTTAGAACTGGTTTCGATGTTTGTGATAATGGGTAGGAGTTATTCTCTGGAAGCGGTAAATATATACTGAGACTAAATGTATTTCTGAATTTTAGAATTCTTCAATTTCTGTAGCAGTTTGTGAGTATCAGTGTTTCCTGCAAGTAACTGTTTTGAATAAGCCAAATAATGTAACTTACAACCTTTGGGGCACGTTCTTATATGAGTAGGTAGTATTTGAAGAATCTTTGTGGAAAATGGTAATGTTTTGTATGAATATTCATACAGTCCACTCTCAGTTACCCATGAACAGCTTAATCCGAGTTTCAAATTAGCAGAGTCATAGAGAAGCATGCCTGTTTCAGCTGACTTCATTTGGGACCACTGAGATTTCTCTTAACTGTGCTTCTGAAAAGGGGAACCATGCCTGCCAGACCTGTTGGCTCTAGGTCAGAGGTGGCTAGCCTTAAGCGACGTTGGTTCTACGCGGATCCAACTAAGTGTCCCTGCACCATATTTGCTATATACATATAATCACAATTTTTTTATCTTTGCTGCCCTTCCCTCTCTCTTTTCCTGACTCTATCCCCACACTTTTATACCAGACAATAGAAAAATGACCACATGGTCAACTTCTGGTTGAGACTTTTCCGTTATGTTATACCTTTGTACAGTTAGGATCTGAATATCCTTTTTGAATTTCACACTTAAGAAGACAGACCATAAAATTCTAGTATCAAAAGCTGCAAATGTGTATCCTCAAAAGGATCCCTTACACACCTTTAAACATTCTGAAAGAATATTTGCAGAGTTATTTTCTCACTGTTGTTTTTTGTTTCTCATAGCCTGTCAGTCAAGAACATCACTATCAGAAAGAAATGAGCCCACTTTCTCATTCCAACCCACGGTAAGATTCCATTTATAGCCCAGGCAATAAGAATTCAGTTAAAATGTTCTGAATACTAAATGTGACATTCTTTGATTTAATCTCAGCTCTCTTTTCAATTGCAGCCTCCTCTCAGAGAGCTTTACTATTGCTCTTTTTATTCATTGTCTACAGGTTGCATTGTCCCAGAAGGCAGGGCAGAAATCTGCATGTTTTGAATGTACTGTTATATATTTAAAGTAACTGACACAGGCCTTGATCCTACACCTGCTTTAGTGTGCATTTCAGCAAGTCTTCCTAATCTGCCACACATGCACACACTCTCACCTATTTCTTTTTCTCTCTCTCTTTTGTTTGAAGGCTTGGAACTAAAATTCTGTAGGTAACTCTAGATGTCAGGGAATCCATTCTTTACAAATTATATTAATGTTGCCTAGTTAGACAGGACTTTTCAATAGACAGCACAGGCAGGAGAGAGTATTAGATTTTAACACTGAGGGATAGTTCAAAGGGATCCTGTCTGCAACATATTTTGCCTGTTAATTTTTTAGCTGGGTCTGTTTTATCTGGAATCAGCAACAAAATTCCTGTGACTTTAATGTGAGGTAAGTTGTATATTTGGGGCCAGGTAGAGAAGGGGCCTGGGAAGAAGTAATCAAAGTTGAGGCAATCAAAATTAATTGTTCTGTTTCAGAACCGACTTGTACCTGTAAAACCCCAACATTGCTTTGCCAATTTCTTTTACAGTCTGATCAGGGGGTGTAATTAATTTTAAAAATGTTAAGTTTCACTTTTGGTAGGCCTAATTAAGGTGAATTTTGCTTGTCCGTGGACAACGTATGTGTGTTGGGAGGGGTAAGAAGAGAGAACATTTCAGATATGACTGACTTTATTTAGAGAGTTTGCTTGACTTCTTTTCAGGGTATCAGCAGTCTGAAATGTTTTGTGATAGTGTAGTGCCAGTTGATTGTACAGCATAATATCCACTTACCCTTATAGAGATGTTTTCAGTCACTTGTTTCAGTGTTGCCATCCACGCTTTTATTATCTTCTTGTTAGATTTCATGAAGTGAACGCTATGAAACTGGCTGTGGAGGTTCACCTAGATGCATCAGTTATTGCAGCATGCAGCCCTGAGTTTCTTAGTGCAGACAGTATATTACTGGAGCTAAAGTGCAGTCCTGGATTCCTGTGCCCTCTCACGTGTATGTCCAAGTGCTCGTGTTGGTCTCTATACCTTGGTGCAGGTTACCAAAGGAACTATCTCTAGCCTCATGAATTGTTACAATGGAGGAAGTGGACAGAGACACTTGACTATAGTCCACAGATTAAGATGTCAAGTATCTTATGACTGACACATTTTGGTGGGGACTCTATTCCATAACTGATTTTTTTCTTCTGATGGCTTTAGAATTGCTAGTATTTTAGTCCAAGCTACACTGTTATCTTCTTTTTGCCCTTAGTTTGGTTGAGTCAGGTTTTATTAAGTTATTTTTGTGCATGTACTAAAACAATTTGGTGCTCAGTACATTTTATGTACTGAAAAACAGAATAAACACTGTTATCCATAGAAATAAAACATTTTAGCAGATCAACTTAAGTTAATATGATCAACAGTAAAAAATTTGTATTTCCATATAATAAAATTTAAAACAAAATATTATAAATTACTACTTAGTTCCTATGCTATTTTAATCCAGTACACACAGTAGACTTAAACTTCTGTAGAAATTGTTTTTGAGAAATGCAGGCAATCAAAGTATTCGTAAAATACCTGGCTTGCAAGTACCTCATAAATTCAGTAGCCCTTGTGAACTGCCAGAAGAGCATTATTGGGCTGTAAATAGAGAAGGTGACAAAATTATGAGGTCAGTTTGCATCATGATATTAAACTGGAGAATATGTGACTCGAATACTGTGATTCACATCATTACATTTCATTTAAAAAGGAAAACTGTGTATTGTTTTTCACAGAGGGTGTATACCTGGGTGAAAGGGAGATAGGATTGATGGTAATCCTGCAACTTAGTTCCTGAACTGTTCTTTAAAGCCAATTTTAACAAGTAATACATGAGCAACTGCAAAAATTTCTAAATCTGTGTAAGCTTGCAAGCAGGTACGTAGAGGAAAGCAGAGGGGAATATTTGAAAAATTGATATATCCTGTTGTAGCTCAGTGGGTGTAAATACTATGGCATGCAGACAATTAGATAATACACTTACTGAAACAACAGATAATTTGTTGTGAAGAGTGATAGAGAATTTGGCAGGTCTCAAATAACTTAGGAAAAAAAAAAGCCTAGTACTGATATTTTCTGGGAAATGAAGAGAGAGCAAGGTGACAGCTATTGTCCAGAAAATGTAACTTCTGTCTGTAATAAGATAAAAGAACAAGCCAGAAAAGAAAGCACCTGTGAAGGTAATGGAAATGCAGTCAATAAAAAGACCTAGCAAGACTCATTTTCCCTTCGTTCCACTGGGTAATGGTCATAAGCCTGCCACAGAATATTGCTACTGCCATACAAATCGACTCTACAACATGCTGCTTTGCAAGGCATAGAACCAGTTAATGAAAGGAGATAGGCTGACTGCAGAGGCTATAGAGCCAGATGAGCAAGATGTGCAGGGTTTCAAGCCTTAGCTCTGCAGTTTCCACAAATAGGCTTGCTGTTCCAGCTGAATTTCAGAATTGCTCTCTTCCCTACAAATCATTCTGTGGTACTTGTCCCTCCAGTACAGATATTGGAAGCTCCTCTGTACCCTACATCTACTTAGTAAGCACTTAAGCAGGGTTGGGCTTTGACATGTGTCATAGAAGGTTTGGAAGTTTCTTTAAAGGGAATGCTAAAGCAAAGAAGGATTCTAGAGGAATTCTAACCATACTGGACTGTAAAATGTGGAGCTGCTCTCTGAAAAATACCACTTGAGCCTAGTTATACGTATAGATTTTCTGAACTTCTGCAGATGCTCTTCAGAAAATTTATTCCTCATGAAAGCCGATTTTCCATCTTTGAGAGAGATTTTTGAAATCTGAAATCTATTCTTACAAGCATTGCCTCACCAGATCCTCAGTTGGCATCACACCTGACTCTTCCCAACCTACCAAATAAAATGTGTTTCTCTGAAGTTCACACAGCTGTTCCCTAGAAACTGCACTAAGGTAGGACATAAATATTTCAGCACTTCATTGGATATCCTGTCACAAGAAGTATATTTTCCTTCAGTAATTTCCTACAAAATGTACACGGACAAATTTTCAGTTAGGTGTTAACCAGACATTTGATTCTACCCATGTGAAAAAAAATGTATTCCTTGAGCGAATTATGGTTACAGATATTTGATGGTAGTAAATGTCTGCCTGATTTGGATTATAGCCAGGAACATAAGATCAGCATACAAAATGAAAGCCTCAGTTTATGGGAAAGTCTATTAGTCAGTGGTTTCAGGCCAAAGAATGAGTGATCAAGTTAAGTTCCATTCACAAATGAAAATATTTATTAAACTGATGTTTAATTTGATGTCCCTCTTAGTAGCTGGGGGTTTTCATATCTTACCAGCTCTCAAGTGTGATGTCTGTTCTTTTAAGAAAGCAAGAAACAACAATTCATAAGCAAGAGCGGTAGAAAGTCAAGAATTTAGGAGCTAGAGTTACATTTCTCAAACAACTGCTATTCAAATAGCAATCACCACTCCCCTGTGCAGACAAAACGCACAGGCTCACATCTGCTTTTTGTAATCCCAGTAAAACTGAGAGTTAGGAAGGCTGATAGCCCATTTGAAATCCTTCTCACTAGCAACAGCTTTTTGAAGGATGGTTGGAATTCATATAATGAAAATAGTATTTCGAAGGACTGTCGCTACCTCTGCTGTGGGCATGGTCAGGGTTATCTGCACAGAATTGCCACGAGTAAAGGGGACTGTAGTCCCTTGTTAGCCCCGTCTCTCTTTTTCCTCTGTGGTGCTGGAAGCTCGCACTTGCCTTGCTGGCATTTGGAAGTGTGCATGTCCATCCAGGATATAGCACACCCTACCCATTCAGCCCTGTGTGTCAGCCCCACCGTAAGACCTGATGGGTGATCATGACTCAGCATGGGGAGGGGAAGAAGGGAGGAAGCTTTAAGCCTTCTTGTGAAACCGAGGGTGGAGCTATAGCTGATGATGTAGATTGTCACCCCCAAAATCCCATTGAGAATCTGAAGAAGAATTTGATGTCATTTACCAGGTTCCCTTCTCCCCTTCACAGTGTCTTGTCCTTCTCTGTGACCCTCAAACCTGCATTCATGCAGATTGTTATCTCAAAGAAGCTTTGTTATGAAACATGAGCGTTAACGATAGCTCTGAAGTTATAGGATTTGATACCATCCTCAAGCTCACCTAGCAGCTGACTTATTAAATAAGCTAAATTTATCTGCTCTGTACCCACAAGTCAGTTGCTTCTTCAATGGCATTTTTTGTATTTAAATTAGATTCCGTCAGTGGTTTTATTATGAATAAAAATGAAACCTCTTAAAACTGAGGAACATTCTAGATCCCTGATTTTAAGGAAAACCAATGATATTATGAAGTGTTTGCTGAAATAGCTAAATGGAAATAGATGATGCAGTGCAAGCTAGCATTTTATCAAGATTTCTATTTTATCTCTAAAAAGGGTCACCACTGTATTATGGTTTAAATCGTTTGTAGCTTTGCCACTTGAGGGTGTGATATAAACTTCCTTGTAACTGTAATTGGCTGATAAGGGCCTGCAGTCTTTGACAAATGATTAATAGTCACTGACCTCACTTCACATTGGCTTGGTACAGGCAGACTAAAGCATGCTGTCTTGTCATTGTAACCTACATGTGTTACATTAAACTGACCAGGATGTCATCATTCTTCTTTCATCTAAATCATTCATCTTTCATCGTCTTTCATCTAATCTTAAAGAATACTAATTTTTTCTCCCTTTTTTGGTAAAGTTGTCTCTCCAATAGAAACAGTACATATAACAAAAAAATACTAAGCAATGGTTGCCTTTGTAAT